GTATCTGAGGGTTCCCATCCACGGGTTAAAACAACCACAGATGGCAAATTTAATACACAATCTGTGGCCGGTTGAATCTGAGGATTCAAACCCTTGGATATGGAGGGTGGGCTATGGGACTGGAGCATACTCGGATTTCGGTATCATCCGTGGGTCCTAGAACCAATCCCCCGCCAATACCAAGGGACGACTGGATTTTCAAAACAATATTTTTTCAACAGGGATGTTTCTATTTTGCAATGTGGTATATCCGCTAGAAATGAAAACACCTCTACTGTTGATGCTTTGTGAAAAACATTCAAATAGTATAGAAATGCATAAGGTGGAAGTAAAATTCTTCCTATAATTCCATGCTCCAGAGATAACTACTAATAATAGATTGATACATATCCTTCTCGACATCTGTAAGCATATAGAAGATCACGCTATACATGTGATTCTGAACCCTGGGTCTAATTACTAGGTACAAAGGTTAGTGACGCTGCTCAGGATGGTAGAGTGGAAAGATGGAAAGAACCTGGGTCTCTGATGACATCCCTGAGCCACTGAATTAACCAACCCTGGAACCTCCTTTCATAAGACTTCTTGTTGTTTGAGATAATAAATGTCCCTTATTGTTTAAGTCATTTCTAATTGAATTTTGTTACTTCTGCCCCAAACATTCTACTTATTATGTCATTTTCCTAGATAACTCAGCCTATCTATACTTAAGGCAACTATATACCTCCATATGTCTTATAATTATAATGAGGTGATACTTGGAACAAAATAAAAGCATATGCATAATGCTGTTACAGCAAGCTAAACCAATAAGCCTTGAAATTCCCATCATCAAATAAGTTAAAATGACTTCAGTTCTGCCAAACCGAATCCATTGTACAAGATGGTTTATTTTAAATATGCATGATATTAAGCTGAACCTTATGGGAATTAAAAGCCTAGAAATCCTAAGGAACATTATGCATTTTAAAAAATGTCAGGTACATAGTTTCTCTACATATGTACATATGTACTATTACTAGCAGAAACACATTTATTGAGCATTTAGTATGTACCAGTGCTGTGCTGAGTGCTTTACACTGATTAATATAATCACAACAAACTTATGAGGCAGATACTATTACATTCCCATTTTACAGATGAGGAAATTAAGGCATAGAAAGGGTAATCTGCCCCCCCCCCAAATAATCAAGCTCATATGTATGGTGCCATTTATAGGTCCTCTCCTCTCAGTCATTATTTAACCCAATCCAGTCTGGCTTCTCATCCTACCCTTTTCTCCACTGAACTTTCAAGTTCATGAATAAGTTCCATTTTGGTAACTCAGAAGGACACCTTTCAGTCTTTATCATGTTTGGCCACTTAACATGATACTGTCTTCTGAGTCTCCTCCCACCTCTCTGACCATTCCATCGTAGTCTTCTTTTGTGGGGTCTCTTCCGAGATTGATTTTTAAATCTGGTGATTTTTAAAGCTTTTTCCTATAGCCTCTTCTCTTCTCCTTTTATACTCTCTCCATAGGTCATTTCATTCATTCCCACAGCTTTAAATAATAATCTACTGATGACTCCTAAATGTACCTCTAGCCCAGATCTCTATCCCGAGTTTCAAACTAGTATACATAACATCTCCACTTAAAGATCTGAGAACCTCAAACTTAACATGTCCAAAACTAAACTCATCTTCCCTTCTAAATCCATGCTTCTTCCAATGTTCCCTTCTTCTGTGGTACCACTATCCCATCAGTTGCCCAAGCCAGAGAGCTAGTAGTCATCTTTGCCTCCACTGTTTCCCCCTCTCCATCGAATCTATCACCAATTGATTCTACCTTTCAAGTATCTCACGCATCTGCCACCGTTCTCCATGCCCACTGCCATCACCTTAGTCCAAGTTACTATCAGCTGTTTGCCAGGGTTACTGCAGTTGCCTATCTGAGCTTCTTGTACCTACTTTTGTCCTCTTCCAATCTATCAACACTTTCCCCCTCTGCAGCCAGGGTAATCTTTTAAAAATGCAAATTTTGGACTTCCCTGGTGGCACAGTTGTTAAGAATCTGCCTGCCTATGCAGGGGACATGGGTTCGAGCCCTGGTCCAGGAAGATCCCACATGCCGTGGAGCAACTAAGCCCGTGTGCCCAACTACTGAAGCCTGTGCACCTAGAGCCCATGCTCTGCAACAAGAGAAGCCACCACAATGAGAGGCCCGCTCGCCACAACTAGAGAAAGCCCACGTGCAGCTATGAAGACCCAACGCAGCCAAAAATAAATAAGTTGATTAATTAATTAATTAAAAAAACAAAAATGCAAATTTGATCAGGTCAATCACAGACTTAGAATTCTTTAACGGCTTTCCACTGACCTTAGGAAAAAGGGCAGAATCTTTTTTATTTTTGGCCACACTGTGTGGCTTGTGGGATCTTAGTTTCCTGACCAGGGATTGAACCCGGGGCCCCGGCAGTGAAAGCGCCGAGTCCTAACCATTGGACCACCAGGGAATTCCCAAAGTGCAAAATCTTTAAAATGACTTGGAGAGCCCCACAAGATTTTGCACTTGTTTATATCTCCAACCTCACTTCTCACCGCTTCATCTTCCATTCTAGCTAGAATGTACTTCTTTCAAATTCTCTACACACTCTGTTCTCCACACACCACACTCTAGGCCTTCTAACATGCCACTTTTTTAACCTGGAATATTGTCTGTTCCTGTAACCAATATCCCAAACTAGCGAACACCTTCACAGCAGTAAGATCTCAACTAGTATGTCATTTCCTCTCTAAATCCCTCAAACTAGGTTAGATCTCCCTGGCAAGTAGATCAGGGCTTAATACATAGTAGGTTCCTAAAAATATTTGTTGACTTGGCTGAGTAGAAAAGAAGACTGGATAGGTATGGAGGGCTTTTTTTTTTTTACATCTTTATTGGAGTATAATTGCTTTACAATGGTGTGTTAGTTTCTGCTCTGTAACAAAGTGAATCCGCTATACATACACATATGTTCCCATATCTCTTCCCTCTTGCGTCTCCCTCCCTCCCACCCTCCCCATCCCACCCCTCTAGGTGGTCACAAACCACTGAGCTGATCTGGTATAGAGGGCTTTGATAGACAAGCAAGTGCTCAGTAAATGTTGAATGAATGAGTAAATGAGCGGGTGGGTAGAGGAAGAAAGATTCGTTTAATGAACAGTTCTATTTTTTTCCCAATACACTATTAGTACATTTGTGGGAATAATATTAAATATCATTTTATAAAGAAGAAAATGTCCAGTTTTAAGATTAGGAGGCAATATTTTAAAATAGGTTCCAAGCTATAACATTTCATTAAAATATGTTCTATAGTTTCCATCATATTAAATCATATAAGAGAAATCTATGAATAACTGTATATCAACAATTTCCTCAGATAATCTAGCAAAATGGACAAATTTCTAAAAACACACTAATTACCAAACTAACTCAAGAGGAACTATAAAATCTCAAAAGATCTGTAAACAAGTAAAGAGATAGAATCTGTTTCCACAGCCTCCCGATAAAGAAAAGTCTAGGGCCAGATGGCTTCACTGGTGAATTCTACCAAACATTTAAAGAATCAACACCAACCCTAACAAAACTCTGCCAAAAATATAAGAGGAGGAACATTTCCTAACACATTCTATGAGATCAGCATTACCCTGGTACCAAAGCCAGCAAAGATACTACAAGAAAAGAAAACTACGGCCCAATATCCCTTATGAATACAGGTGGAAAAATCCTCGACAAAATAATAACAAACCAAATCTAATAGTACATTAAAAGGATTATACACCAAGACCAAGTGGGGTCTATCCCAGGAATTCAAAGGTGGTTCAACATAAGAATATCAAAGTAGTAATTCATATTAACAGAATAGAGAGGACAAAACAAATGATCATCTCAATAGATGCAGAAAAAGCATTTGAAACAATTCAACACCCTTTCATGATAAAAATACTCAGCAAGCAGGAGTAGAAAGGAATTTCCCTAACATGATGAAGTGCTTTTACCCAAACCTATAGCTAATATCATACTCAATGATGAAAGACTGAAAGCTTTCCACTTATGATCAGGAACAAGACAAGGATGTGTGCTTTTTGAAACAAGAGAGAGGTGGTGGTTGAACAACATTGTGAATGCACCAAATGCCCCTGAATTGTACACTTTAAAATAGTTAACTATGTGTTATATGAATTTCACCTCCATAAAATGATTCATAGGGTGAATCATTTATTCACTTTGGCTTACTGATGTACAAGCATATTTCCTATGTTTACAGGATAATTTGTAGATGAGTTCTAATTTCGAGATTACGTTATAACACCATGAAAAACAAACTATATTTTCAATTCAAGATAAATGCGAGATAAAGTCCAACTATAAGCCTGAAAACTACCCTTAGGAGAGCCTGCAAGCTTTCCTCTCAAAATTAGAATGTTCTTTTAAAAATTGAAAGCCAGATGGTTTTATATATAAAAGCAGGGGCTTCCCTGGTGGCGCAGTGGTTGGGGGTCCGCCTGCCGATGCAGGGGG